AAGATACTTTATCAAGAATGTTCTGCATTAGGCAGGAGGCCAAAATAGAAAAGCACAATTATCTCATCCAATCTTAACCAACCAGCAAACAACCTACTTTCAATAAAATAAAAATGGCATGATAACTTACTAGATAATTTGTATTAGAGATTGTGATAAAAATAACTCAAGATACATTTAGATACTTCGAAGTGTTTCTTACTTTCAGAATGATGATATTCATACTTTGGGGGTGAGGGGGAAGGGGCAGGGGATAAATTGCTATCTTCAGAAGAAAGTCCATGAAAGTTCAGCTGCTTAGAGCTTTGGATGGATTTCAAAATTATTTGCATAGCAGATATCTGTCAGCCCTCAAAACCCCACAAACTACACAGAAGAGCCTCAGAAAACATTTTACGCACTCAAATGTTTTATTAAGTAATCTACACCAGACTCCTAAGGCTGTGCTCAGGACTTGAAATTTTGGCCTTAGACTGAAAAGAGCTAGTTGACCCTCCTTGCCACCAAGTTACAGGTAGAGCACAATGCTTTTCCCCAGAGGTGGCGCTTTCAGATAGACCAGGATGGACTTCCAGATCATAACAGAGAATGGAGCTGAGACTCAGGAAATACAGTGAGCACAAAACACAGGTAGCTGGTGGCCTCCACGCATCCCATGTCCATGTTTTCAGATGTTTGACTTCTGTTTAGGACAGCTCACATTTGCTTCGCTTCTTTTTCTCATTGATTGTTCAACAAATTACACCATTTTTATTGGGCTGCCAAGTGACTGCTCTCCTTTGGATCAATGACAGCCAGCTCTCTTTCAATTAATGGTGTTTTAACTTTAAAGGGCACTCCGAGACAATAGGTCTTGTTTTGATAGATAACCATACAAGCAAAACCAGCTGTTATTCTAGAAATTTACATTATTCCTGCTACAGTTTTATATGCATAGACATAGTTTTTATAATCTTCATTTGGATTCCTTTCATAAATATATATAAAACAGGGAATAATTTTAATATCTTACTTTGTAGGAGGTGGAGACTAACAGATGTGCGATATTCTGAACAGCTCCATGGTTAAATAAGATTGTCTGGTGATCTGGACCCTTCAAAGGAAAACATAAAACAGGATTTATTTTTCTAAAAGAACACGCAAGACCTTTCCACTATCTGCAACTTACTGTTAAGTATTAAAGGTAGATTTACTAACATTTCTTTCATATTCAGCTGGCATACCAACTTTTTGTTCTGTTTTGCTTTTTAAATAAACATGTCCAACTCTTATTTTTATAGCGTTTGTCCTTCTCCAGTAATCATTTCCACTCTTTTCTTCACTAGCAATGACATTAGCTTTCACAAATGAAGAAACATGGATAGAGTACTTATGTTTCTATTTTTCATATTGGAAACAACTGAAAGCTCCTGATCTTCTCTACAAATCATACAAAAGATCCCCAGTTACTAATGTCTTCTTCACTGGTAATATAAAGCATTTTCAACAATTGTAACTTCAGAAGAGAGGGAATTAATTCTGAAACTGTTTCCAGACAGAATGTGACAGTGCTTTGAGAACAGATTCACATCTTCCTCCTACAGATTATTTTAGTTTCAAGCATATTTAGCCATAAATCTAGTCAGCCATCACCCATTTATTGACTTCAAGATCTAAGTCAGCAATGGCTGATACATCCACATTTTTCCAAGATTTAAAAAGCATTTGGAATTAAACACAAATACTGAATTTTGCAGTGGACAGGTCTCAGAACTTCTATAGTACGGCAAGGCTCAATGAGGTTAGGAAAAACAACGTGACATCTCAACGGGGCCTGCAACCCTCAATAGTCTCTTGTGAAACCTGATCTGTGACTTACAAACATCTCTTTCGAGGCAGATTCATGACTCTAGTCATCTTTGCATTGAGCACGGGCTATGTGCAACTTAAATTTGGCTTTTAGAATGTCACAGCATTAATCATACCTCAATGTATTTTCTTGACTAATCTGTCAGTGAACAAAGTATCTTCACTCCATCTTTTGTTCAAACCCAGCTGAGTTTATGGGCACATCTATACATCCTAGTTTGCATGAGTGACACTTTATTTTCACATTTAAGATACAGCTGAAATCAGCTTCTCTTATATTCTAAAGAACATTTTTAGAACACCCCTTACCTCTAAGAAAAAAGGCATAAAATTACTTTTAGATGTAACACATCTGGTGCTTTAAGAGATGCTTCAGCTGCTACTGCCACCAAGAGCTTTTACCAAAAAATGCAATTAAAACAGCATGGTTGAAGCAGGAAAACAACTTACATTGGCACACAGAAGTGGCTGAGGCAATGATTTAAAGCCGCAGCTATGCCAGTGTTGAAGCTGAAGAACAGATATTAAAATATGTGAAAAAAAGGAATTAAATTAAAATAAAAGAAATCATATTGACCTAGATAGTTTTAGTAATTCACAAGTATTAGTGATTTTTCAATGAGATACAGACTGTAAATTCTGTGCAAACAGGACAGAGGTGACACTCAGGTGTATTCTCAGTTGCATAACTGGATGCACATGAAATATCCAACCTGTACAAATTGTGTTTGCAGACTTCAACCCAGCTTGTTTAATGCACAACCAGGTTAAGCACTAACCCACAAAGAGGGACAGCTTCAAATATAACATGAGAATGCAAGGTATCCTTTCCAAGCAGCTCAGGCAGCAATAGCAAGGCCTTCTGGTTTTGATTCTCTTCGAGGATACCAACAGAGTTCCAGGAGCCAGCCCTATTACAGTGACCTTTTTCTCCAAATATGACTGAATATTTCAGGAATAGAAATTACACTTCTTGCATGATTTTCCATCGTGAAATGTCAATTTTCAAGAAAGCAGTAGGTGAGAACAATGTAACAATTCACTCCATAATGAAATTTTAAAAGCAGCTATCTAAATACAAATGCACCCTGGTTCAGGGATCCCGCATCAGGCCTAAGATCACATAGTCTCAGAAAATAGTCTCAGAACAGGCTTGGGAGGAAGCTGCCTTGATTACAGGCTTTATCCTGGATCTTTCCCAGACACAAGATTTCAATTTTCAACTGGTGGTGAAATTACTCTCTATGTAGAGATGTCACCACATTCAAATATAAGTTCCAGAACTATCTTTTCAAATTATTCCTATAACCATGTGTTTCCAAATGCATACCATATCTTTTTAATGTGACCATTAAAATAGTGAAGCTTACCTACTCACATCACTTTCTCTGGAAACAAACCAACTGTGATAGAGAGAATCTTAAAAAGTAAATTTTGACTTGCACTTTAGCATACTACGTACATTAACCTTATTTCAGTTTACTTATTTGCTTATATGTTGATAGAATCCTGGCTTCATATGTTAAGAACTACATCTGCTCCCCTTGTAACTCAACACTTTCTCCTGCTTAGGATGGTTGTTCTCCAGGGTGAATGTTTTCCACCAGTTAATTTTAACTCTAAAAATGCAGCGAGAAGCTGTAAAAGCAAGCAGCAAAAGCAGAAAACAGCAGCGATATGCTAGGAACCTGAATGAAGGATTTCCTAGCTCAGAAGAACAGGTCTGAGCTTTTTCGGGGAAATTTGAGCAGGAGAGAAAGCAAGAAACCTGAGAAGCCCAACCAAACAAGGCTCTGGCAAGTAAGAGAAAACATGGTTGCACAAGATCTAAGCAGAGAACAGTATGCAGGAACAAGGAGGGTGGGAGCTATCATATGTCACTATTAGTTCAATGAATAAATCTACTAAGATGAGGAAAAAGATAAATAAAAGCATCAATACCTCTTACAATATATATTAAGCCTTACCTAAATACAAACGCTTATAGTAACTTATTTCTTCAGGAAAAAATTAGAAAGGCCTAACAGCCTTTTGGGGGGAAGATGAAGTCTTCATTAAAAATTCAGTGATTATTGAAACTTTCAGTATTTTTTTTTTTAATTATAAGAACGTACTTTGCCTAATGATATAAATCAGAAAGTCCCCTGCAAATCGTGCTTCACTATATTAGATGTATTTTGTTATGTCTGAAAATACAGTAATTGACCTTCCTAATCAGACCTGAAACGTAAGAACTGAACAAAAAAAGGGGCATTTTAGATTTCTGCTGAACAGCTGCATTTGCCTGAGCAAGAAAGAAAGGAGTTCTTGATCAATTTAACATTTGTGATTAACTGTTTACTCAACCTCAAATATTTTTCTTTGTTATGCAGCTAATGTTTATTCTGTAAATGCAACTCTTGCCTAATACCCATACCCAGCACCCTGCTTTTCTCGCGCATTCATGTTTTTATCTGTTCACACAATCAACTTTTTCATTCCAAAAACCTGGATTTTTCAAAACATTCCCTGTAAAATTTGTTCAAGAGAGATTTGGGGGTGAAGGAGGCATTCAAAACTGTATAGTGAGTTCCTAAGACCTTCCTTACTCTACTCTTGTTAAGTGACTAGGCATTTGCTTTGTTAACGATGTATTTGACACGTAAGTCACCAGGAGTTAATGGAGCTACGAGGAAGTAACTCATTTGGAAAAAGATGACAATGACTGTTTTATCATAGAGTGTTTGAGTTGGAAGGGACCTTAAAGATCATCTAGCTCAAATGCCCCTGGCCACAGGCAAGAACAACTTCCCAGGTTGCTCAAAGACCCAGCCAAGCTGGCCTCAAACACTTGCAGGGGGCTTTCATGTTGGATTAATTACCTAAAGTTACTCAGAAGTTCTCACACAGCCAACAGGGTTCATACTGCTACAGAGCTAACCCCTGATTGTATAAACTGACTTCTATACCATCCTACAATCAGTCCTGTGTTATTTTTCTTGTAAGTCAACATGGCCTGATTTTTCACCTTTTCAAGCTACTAAGCCTATTAAGGAGACTTTCAAGAGCCACATAAACATGAGATGCCTCAACTGGTGTATTTTCTTAAAATACCAAATTATTTTTCGAGTATTAGCTACAGATCTGAACTTCCACAGTCCAGTGTAGGATTTTGTCTCAATGTTTTCTTTAAACAATTCTATAAATACTAGCAGCTGAGTGATATTTTTATGTCACACTAACTCTACAGTTTAAAGTCCTCAGTTTCACTTAACAGAACAGATGCATTCAGATGAATGCACATAAGTAACAGTGAAGGTAGAGAAAAAACACACTTTTAACAAAGGAATAATTCAGAGTCACTCATTGCAAGTGATAAGGCAGAAAGATTTTTTTTTTTGAGGTAAATATTTAGAAATTCATAAATTTTGGAACTTTTTCACTTGTTAATCTGGGAGATAAATACGATCTAAGATCTTCTAGTTTTAAGCTGTTTCTAAAAGGGAAAGATGCTGTGCAAACCTGATTTCTTACACTGAATTATTTCGATACAGTTACTGTATAACCCATGAGTACAGTCAGTCCCAAAAACCCACAACAATAATACAAAAACCAGTGGAGCGTGGAAACTCAAAGTGAGGGTTCAGGGGGAGGGAAAGACAAAAAATTCTGTTTGAGGTGGGGTTGCTGCTGTTTTTAAATCAGTTTTCCCATATAAAGAGAATCACATTATATAGC